GCACAAGGAACCAAGTTCAATCCCTGGTACGAGGCTGAGACAGGAAGATCACTACCAGTCTGAACTGCATAGTGAGACTCTGTATCCAATAAATATAATAAAATTATATATATATGAAATATATAGTTTATACATAAATTTCATAAAATTTGCCTAACTATATTAAAATGTATAGTTCAGTAAATTAAGCATTCAACATTGTTGTCCAAATGTTACCATCGCTAGAAAAATTTTACCTTCCCCAGATGAAATTCTGTACTTATTCTTTCTTCCATCTCCCCATCCCTGGAGAAACCACATTACTGTATGAATTTTGTTACTGTGGTACTTCTTATAGTAGAATCATATAACTTTTGTCCTTTATTTCACTTAGTATAACATCTTCAACATTCGTCCATGCTGCATGTGTCAGAATTTCCTTCCTTTTTAAAGCTGAATAACATTCCATCATATATACATTCTACATTTTGTTTTCCATCCATGTGATAGCAATACTTCTACTTTTTGGCTATTAAGGATAATGCTGCTGGGCCGGCCAGATAGCTCAGCGGATTGAAGTGCTTGCTTAAGCCGAAGCAGGGACCAGAATTCAACCCCCAGTTCCACATACCATGCTGGTACACCATATAGTGCCCTGAGCCAGCAATTAAGACTGGGTGAGGGGGCACACACCTGTAATCCCAGCACTTGAGAGGCTGAAAACAGGAGGATCACTATGAGTCCAATCTGGGTAGTGAGAACCTGTAGACCTTGTACTAAAAAAAAAAAAAAAAAAAAGGATAATCCTGCATGAAAATGGGAATATGGTCTAAGGCCATACCACCCTGAACGCGGTTCAATCTCGTCTGATCTCGGAGGTCGGGCCTGGTTAGTACCTGGATGGGAAAATGGGAATATGCACCTATATTGTTCAAATAACGGAACTTAGAAAAAAAGGGGTATACAGATGAATGTCCATTTTGTATCTGTGTATTCAAAGTGGATGGGATAGGGGCTGGTGAGATGGCTCAGTGGTCTAGAGCACCTACTTGGAACAAGCTTAGCAAAGCACAGGGACCGCGGCTCAATCCCCCAGCACCAAATGCCAGCCAGTCCAGCCCCCAGGTGGGCTGAGCTGGCCACACACACACACAAAAATAAAAAATAAATAAATAAAATAAAAATAAAACAGAAGTCTTCAAAGTGGATGGGATAGATATATACTTACATTCTCTTAATGAATAGAATGATTTGTTCTAACGGTGTTTGTAAATAGGATCTCAAGTCCACATCTTGTACAGCAATTAACCACTAAGAAGAATGTATGCAGGGTGTTATTGAAACTGTCCTAGCAATTTGAATTGAAACTGTCTCATTGCTATCTGTTTATCAATAAAATTATGAAAAAAATAAAATAAATAAAATAAAATACTCCAACAGACTGTTATTTAAAAAAAAATGGGAATATGAGGGTCACGGAGACAGCTCAGAAGAATTAATACCTGCCTGACAAGCACAGGGTCCTGAGTTCAATCCCCAGTACTAAAAAAAAAAAAAAAAGAAAGAAAGAAAGAAAATGGGAATATGAATACTATTTGAATCCCTCCTTTCACTTACCTTGGGTGTATATTTAATAGTGGAATTCCAGAATTTTGATTTTTAATTGAATGTAACTTATGCAGTGACAATCACCCTTGCTAGTCTACATTTCTTTGAGATTTGACAAACACCTAGTTATGTAATCACCACTACAATTGATAAACGCTCATCTATCTTCTTTCACTACAGTTTTGCTTTTTCTAAAATGTCATAAAAAATAAAAAAATAAAATGTCATATATAAAAAATATGTCATATAAGTGGAATCATATAATAAGTAACTTTCTGAGACTAGCGTCTTTCTTTTACATTATATAATGTATCTAATATTCACCAATGCGCTTGCTTGCATCAGCAGTTACCTTTTTTATTTTTCTTTTTTTAAATCAATGATCGACTTAGTGTTGATGAACTACCATTGGTTTTCCCATTCCCCAAATGAAGGACAACTGAATTGTTTACAGTTTTTGGATGTTGTGACAAAAGTTTGCATATAGGTATTCGTGCAAATAATATTTAATATCTTTTGGTAAATATCTACAAAAGACAAGGTCATTTTGAGCAATAACAAGATACTATACAATGTGACCCACACGTAAGGCACATAGTAAGAAGCTTAATAAGTTGAGCTAACAGGAAATTTGCAACATTTTATACAAATTAAATTAAAATAATCTATTGATAGGGCTGGGGGTATAATTCAGTAACAGAGAATGTTCTTAGTTTATACAAGGCCTTGGCTTCAATCCCAGCATCAAAAAAAAAAAAGGGTATTACAAGTCATCTTTACCATTTTTTCTGTGCACAACTCCTAGAAAATGTGCATCAGAAACACATTTACAGGGCCCTTTGCTGCTGAAGCTGCTGGTAGTGTTACCAGGCAGTGAGAACAGAGGGTGCGATACAAAGGCACTTCCTTTCTCTTGTAGCAGTTCACCCCACTGTTATGGGACTTCCCTCACCTAGGTTTTTAGGTATTAATCCCCTTCTATGTCTAGCTGTGATACAGCACATCCTTCTAGAAGTACACGTCAGAAGTCTTTAAACTGGAAAGGAATGACTGGAGGTACATGGTAGAAGGCTTGCCTAGCAGATGAGAAGGCTTGGGTTCAATCTTTAGGGCAAAAAGAATTAGAAGGGAAGTTTGGAGGATGCTGCTGGAGGCTGATCTTGAGCCTTGTTCCTTTGCAGGGCCCAAGGCCTTGAGCACAACAGGGAAGCACTCAAGCACTAAGCTGTGCTCCTATCACTGAAAAAGATGATCTATGACTTCTTTTTTCAGTTTAGGGCTTTGCACATACTAAGTACATCCTGTAGCACCAACCTACACCCTTAGCTCTATAAATAGTTTTCATTTAAGTTGTAAAATCTTTTACTGAAGTTGAAATTGGTATCTCTTGAACTTTAGTATGATTCAAAGTCACCAGAACAAATTTCTAGATTTTCACCCAGTTTTTCTTTCCTCTTTTTTTGGTCTTTTTGAGACAAGGTTTCACTATGCAGTACAGGCCGGCCTTGAAACTCACTTTGTAGCGCAGGCTCAAACTCACAGCACTCCCCTTGCCTCAGCTTCCAGAGTGCTGGGATTACAGGGGTACACCACCATGCCTGGCTTAACCCACAGTTTCTGATTCAGTTGGTCTGAAGTGCCAGAATTCACATTTCAACTAAGCTTCCAGGAAATGTTTGTGCTGTGGCCCAGGGACCACAAGGGACACATTTTGAGAAAGGGAAAGATTAAGGAAAGAAGAAAGGAGAAAAAGTGTTTTCACAAGTCAGCTTTACACAGGCTCTTCTGGAACAGTCCCACATCTTTTCAGGACCCAGAGTAGCCAGTATGCCTTGGGCAAAGGATCTGTCACTGCTCTTAAAATGAACTCTGACTGCATCCCTCAGCGAGGATTCAGCCCAGGGTAAGGCCTCCTTCTTGGGAAAACAGAAGGCTTTTCATAAATCTTCATAGCTAGGGCTGGGGATGTAGTTCAGTGGCACAAAAGCCTGACTGCAAGCACAAGGACCCGGGTTCAATCTCCAGTACTGCATGCCAGGCCAGCCCCAGAACCCGCATGGTGGCACACACCTGTAATCCCAGCCCTGGGGAAGCTAAGATAGGAGGATCACTATGAGTCCAAGCTGCATAGCAAGACCCTATACTAAGTAGATAAATAAATGACTTTAAAAAACAAAAACAAAAACAAAAAAACTAAGCATGGAAAGGATACCAGAGAGAAGAGAGCAGGAAAGACCAGGAGGATCCTAAAAAATGGGAATGAAGTCAGGTGTGGTGGCCTGGGGCATGGGAAAAGAGCCAAGAGCCTCAAAGCCAAGGCCTTGTCCCAGGCAGGCGGCATAGGAGCAGTCATAGTCTGACAGCTCGCCTGTTGTAAAATCAGCTTTGTCAACAATGGGCATGTCTGATGTGGTCCAGTGGAGTGGGGGACATAGTGGTATGCTATTCCCTGATTAGAAGCAGCTGGCTGCAAAGAGTGCTTTTCTGGGACTGCCTCTAGGAGCCCTGTACAATCTCAGAACCACAGCCCCTACTCCTTTAATGATGTGCCAGGCTCTGTGCCAAGCACTTATTAATTGAGAGTTAGTCTTTCACTTAAAATAATTCAATTCAAACCAGATTGGGGTGTGGGAGGGCATAAATTAGAGAGACACCGGCTTGTTTCTTAAATTCCAGGGCAAAAGGCAACTGGTCTCAGGAAGGACCCAGACAGGGGACCCCAGGGAAGCTGAAATTCTCCAGAAACTTTTGCATGTTTGTTTGTTTGTTTTGAGATAGCTCAGGCCAGGGAGATAGCTCAGTGGCTTAAGTGCCTTCCTGGCAAGCACAAGGTCCCAAGTTCAATCCCTGGCACCAAAAAAAAAAAAAAAGAGTGAGACAGGGTCTCATTCTATAGTTCAGGCTGGCCTTAAACTCACTATATAGCCCACCCTGACCTAGAACACACAATAATCCTCTTGCCTCAGCTTCTTGAGTGCTGGGATTATAGGTGCACACCACTATGCCTGGCTTACCTACCAACTTACAGGTTCTCTCAGGGCATCTGTCTCATTCTTTCTCCTCTGAAGACTGGCTTTTTCTAATAATCAGATGATGAGACAAGAGAAAGTAAAGTTCCCATATCCCTACAGTTTAGATTCAACCACAGAAAGTAAAGTTGGGTCCACTCTGATTTCTTGAGGGGAAGCAGAGCTCAGCATGGGTTGGGATCCATTTGGTTCCAATGAGACACAATGAGGGAAGGCGAGGGCCATACACAGAAGTATTGCTGCTGACTCTACATTATGACATCAAGGAAAAAGAGGGTCCCTTGGGAAATGTGTAGATTAGGGGCTGCTGAACAGAACAGAGGCAGAGACTCCATATGTTCACCAACCCATTAAGAGACATGGAGACATAGACACAACACAAAGTTCCATATGAAAATAAAAGTTTAGTTTGCCAAGTTATCATCACAACCACTCCTGTACTCCCTGAACCTAATCCTTGTAGGCCTGGGAAAGCAAGGAGGAAGAAGGCACTCAGCTGGAAGAACAGATTTTTGATGAGACTCGGCTCAGAGATGGGCAGGCGGCTGGCCCAAATTCTTCCGGCCCTCACCAGCAATGGGCCGGCCTCGCTCTTCCCAGATGGTGAGACCATCACAGGAGCAGATCTGTTTGGGGTTCTGGAATAGGCCAGCAGAGCGTGCGATGATGCCACAGGCCAACCTACAGAAGGATGTGGAGTCAGAGTAGGTCCTCACCTGGTTCCCCCCAGGCTTCCCCATGTACCACTGGTAGAGCACAGCTTCCTGCTGGCTGGTAACACTCACCTCTCCCCAGAATTCCCTGTGATCTTGGATAAGGGATGGCCTCCCCGACCCAGGTCATCTTCTCCCTCATCAATAACCAGGCTGCGGCCAATCACATCCCATACCTTGGAGGGCAGACAACAACCCTCAGCCCGCTGTCCTGTTGGGAAAGGCCCCCACCTTTTCACCTCACCTTCAGCTGCTCATCCTCTATCCGGAACACAGCTCGGCCATCAGCATCAGCATGGACATTGCCCAGGTCTCCACGGTGCTGGAATGAGACCCAGGGAAAAAGAGAAAGATCACATGAGGCCAAGCTGCTCTTATCTGGCTTCTTAGTAGCAGATTCCTCTTCTTACCTCCTTAAACCACCAACTTCCTCCTATGGCTGTAGTCTGATTGGATCACAGACAGCCATTGGACACTCTTCCCTTGTAAATTCCTGAGCAGAATGCCAGAGTACTGGAAAAAGCCAACCTTCCCTTGCAAGCCTGTTGCTGGCCCTATTTCTGGCCTCCACTTGGCCACATTCTTGAGTCTTTCTAAGCCTGATCCCCCAGCCTCCTGGTGGCTCCTTGGCAGTCTTCAACTCTTCAGGCTTCACTCGGCCGTGCTTGGCTTCCCTGATCATTCCAACAGCCAGCACCACTTCCTTGACCCCAGGAATAAAGGAACAAAGAAACACAAGGGGACAAAGGACCTATCCTAACCCCAGAAACTGGCTCTCCCCATCTTCTTTTACAAAGTGTCACAACATATCTACTTAGCACCTCCTGCCAGATATCTGCAGGAATATATAGAGGCCCAACTCTCCAGTGCCTCAGATGTGGAACAGATGTGCTTATGAAATAGGATGATGACAATGGTTGATGAGTTTTAGGTGACAAGACCTTACTGATGAGCCACAGATATTACCTTTGGGCGAATAAATCTGCCCAACGTGACACTTAGGCAGGCAGAAGCAGGCACCTCAGTATGGGCTGATCCACATGCCCTTGCTGCTAGATAACAACATATCGGTGTGTGGCGGGGCTAACAGCTACAAAGAGAAGAGGATCTACTTTATTTATCTAGATGGACATCTGCTGCTGGCACCTAGCAGCACTTTCTTTATGTGGCTGGCCCTGTGTTGGGGGACTTCAGTGGTAGAAAGATGGAAACTGGAGGAGTGTGTCTTTGGCTGGGCTGAGCTGGGGAGCGAGCTGGGGAACAGGCTGGGGATGGTGGCAGAAGGTACTGATTCTTCATGGGATCACAGAGAAACAGCCTTTCAGGCAGGGAGGCCTTCAATATCACACTTGCACTCAGAGGCCCAGCCTGTCCCCTCAGGCACTAGGGGACCCAAAAGGGTTGCAGGAAAGGAAAGGCATGGTTCCTCTGTGCTTCAGAGCAATCCCCCTAGTAACATCTGAGGAAGGACTGGAGGGAGGTACCGAGAGAAGAGAAGGACGTTTAGAGACAGACCATCAGGAGATACGCAAGAGAATCAGGCTTGAACGTAAATTCCCATACTAAATTAGGTTCCATTTGGGCAATACCATGTACTGAAAACCCTGAAGAAACTGGCCAGACATCACTGTGGTGTTGGCCATACACTTCTCACTCACTTCTTTCTGTCTACATCTAAGGCCTTGGGCTCAATACGACTGCTGACTCTGGGCCTTTCAAGAAGACATGGCATGAGGTAGTTCTTGCCCTTCAGAAATGCAGCATATCACATGTCAAGGGCTTTGCCTGGCCAGGTCCCTGTGCTGCGTCTTCCACCCCTACTCATTCCTTTTCTTCTGTGCAGTTCCTGTCCAGCACTTCTCAAAGTTCCCAAGGCAGACAGCCTGCAGGCACACCTCCCATATTCACATTTCGTGTGATTTACCTCCCTTGAGGGTAGGCAGCAGCAAAGAGCATTTCCCAGATTAGGTTACAGGAAGAATGAGGCTTCGGTCTGGAACACCCTCTCACTCTCTCACTCAAATGCTTTGAGAGAAACCAGCTGCCATGTGGTAAGCTGCCCTAGGGAGAGGCCCACGTGGCATAGAACTGATGTCTGGCCAACAGCCAGGGAGAACCCCAGGCCTGCCAACAGCAACATGAGCAAGCTGGGAAGTGAATTCTCCTCTTATTGGGCACTGAAATGACTGTGCCCCATGAGACCCTAAGCCAGAGGCATCCAGATTCTTGTCCCATAAAAACTGAGATAATGAATGTTTGTTATCTTATACTCCTAACATTGGAATCATTTAATTTGAAGCAATAGGTCAGTAATATCCTGACTACAAACATCTAATTGTACAAAGAATCAGAAACCCCTCTCCAACTTCCAGGAGAAATGGGATAAAGCTGTCAGAAGCTGTCAGAAGTTAAAGGAAAAAAAATCGGTTACATGAATTAAGAAACATGTACACGTTGAATATGGCTTATCTGAAATGCTTGGGACCAGAGTTTGTGATTGCGGCCAGGGAGATAGCTCAGTAGAAAAAGCACTTGCCTGGCAAGCATAAGGGTCTGAGTTCAATCCCTGGTTCTGCCAAAAAAAAAAAAAAGTGTTTGATTTCAAAGTGTGTGTGGGTTTTTTGTTTGTTTGCTTGTTTTAATTTTTGCATACACTTTACTGGTTGAATAGCTCTAATCTGAAAATCCAAAATCTTACATGAGTTCCACTCAAAATTTCAGATTTGGAGCAAAATGGAGTCTGAATTTGCAGATTATAGGGATGTTCAACTGACAATACATGTACACTGGCTTTGTGTCAGAAGATCAAAAATTTCATATCATTATAAAATACAGGGCCAGCCATATAGCTCAATGGATTAAAGTGCCTTTTTAGGCAGAAGCAGGGGTTGGGAGTTCGACCCTGCCCCCGGGGCAGCGCTGAGATGTCCATTGAGACTGGGTGTGGTGGTGCCTGTAATCCCAGCACATGGGAGGCTGTAAACAGAAGGATCACTCCGAGTCCGATCTACGCAGTGAGACCCTGTAGACTCTGTAGACCTAATAGGAAAAAAAAAAAAAAAAAAAAGGCGGAGGGGCTTTGCTGGATAGCTCAGTTGTTTAAAGCACCGTCTGTGGCTAGGGAGATGGCTCAGTGGAATAAGTACCTCCCTGGCAAGCGCAAGGGCCTGAGTTCAATTCCCAGTTTCAAAAAAAAGCAGTCAGGCGCATAGGACTGTGATTTGATTCCCAGCTCCAGAAGCTGTGCCAGACTCACCCTTAAGGCAGCCTGAAATAGCCAAACAAAAAACCTCCTTCTATAAAATACAAAATACACTGGCCCCACCCCCCCAAGGCATGCTGAGAGGGCAATTGAGACTAGGCATGGTGGCACATGCCTGTAAACCCAGAACATGGGAGGCTATAAACAGGAGTATTACTATGAGTCCAACCTGTGCAGTGAGACCCTATACTAAATACATTAAAACAAAAAACAAAAAACACAGAATAGTCAAACAGAAAATAAACACAAAATCTGGAGGGGAGGGCATAAAAAGGAGCTGGCAGTTTCCCAACATCAGGAACCAAAACCTACCCTAGGGTCAGCCAGATAGCTCAATGGATTAAAGCACCTACTTAGGCAGGGATAGGAACTGGGGTTCAATTGAGACTGGACATGGTGGAGCATATCTGTAACCATAGTGCTTGGGAGGCTGAAAACAGGATTGGGGCCAGGGAGACAGTTCAGTGGAATAAGGGTTTGCCTGGCAAGTGCAAGGTCCTGAGTTCGATCCCTGGTACCACCAAAAAAAAAAACCCCAAAAAAAGGAAGATCACTTTGAGTCTGATCTGTGCAGTGAGACCCTATAGACCCTGTACTAAATACATTTTAAAAAATAAATAAATAACAACTACCCTGGATTCTATCTCCAAGCACAAGGAACTATAAGAAGCCCTTAGGTTACATGGAATCACTGACAGGGAGGGCAATCCTCTCAAGAGCTGGGATTACAGGCAAGTGCCACCATGCCCAGTCACATGGGTTCCTGGTGCTATAGTCCACTGAGCTCTTTGGCCAGCCCTCTTTCCTACAGTGGTTGCTGTGGAAAGATATCAAGGAGAAAAATCTCTTGTCATTGTCAACAAGTCTTTAACATCTTACTAATATCTTCTCCTACTTTGACAGAGACAAATAGTAGGCCTCAGGGCCCAGGCCTCTGAGGTCAGTCTCTAGCAGAGCTTATACCCAATCCCCATTTTTAGGAGTATTGATTTCTTTTTATAATGATCTTCCTCTTATGGTTAGAACTGGTTTTTCATTTAGATGGTAATACCAAGTTTTGTTTTATTTTGATGGGACTGGGCATTGCCCCTGCGGCCTTCACACTGAGCTACATCCTCAGCTCTTTTTATTTTTTATTATTTTGAGACAGGGTCTTGCTAAATTGTTAAGTTGCCTGGGCAGGACTCAAAGTTTGTGATCCTCCTGGCTGAGCCTCCCAGAGTGCTGGGACTGTGGGCATGTACTGCTACATTTAGCTTCAAGTATCTCATTAAAAAGAAAATTTACCACCGGGGAGATAGCTCAGTAGAATAAGCGCTTGCCTGGCAAGTGCAAGGGCCTGAGTTCAATCCCACCAAAAATTTATGTAGCCAAGGCATGTGCTGTGTACCTACAGTTTCAGCTATTTGGGAGGCTCAGGCATGAGGATTGCTTGAGCCTTGGAGTTTAAAGCCAGGCTGAAAGCCAGAAATGATGGTGCACTCTTATAATCCTAGTACTCAGAAGGATTGCCACAAATTCCAAACCAGCCTAGGGAGCTGCATGGGGTGGGGTTTGTGGGGCAAGATGACGGCCGCCCCCCTCCAGCCCCGAGGCTGGCGAAGGGCAGATCTGCCTCATGGACAGCTGCTTCCAGAGGCTTCTGGAAATCACCGAAGGGTCAGAGTTCCTCCGGCTTCAGGTGGAGGGAGGTGGATGCTCCGGGTTCCAATACAAATTTTCCCTGGATACCGTTATCCACCCGGACGACAGGGTATTTGAACAGGGTGGGGTGAGAGTGGTGGTTGACTCTGATAGCCTGGCCTTCGTGAAAGGGGCCCAGGTGGACTTCAGCCGAGAGCTGATCCGAAGCTCAGTTCCAGGTGTTGAACAATCCTCAAGCATAACAAGGCTGCTCCTGTGGGTCATCCTTCTCTATCAGACTCTGACAAGATGACAAGGCACCCTGAGATTGTCAGCAGCTGCACTAAGCTGAGAAACCCAGGGTTAGTAGAATTTTAGAAGTTTCTAATCATATCCTCTCGATGTTATTTTCCTTAATTTAGGAGTGTGTGAAGCTTTCACACTTGGCCAAAATCACCTTCCTCCACCTGCCCTCTATATGATGCTAAGGCCAAGCTTCCAAATGTTGTTACCTCGGGTTTAATTACTGGTTGAAACCCAATACAGTCAGGTGTGGTGGCACACATCTGTAATCCTAACACTTGGGAAGCTGAGGCAGGAAGATTGTTGCTAGTTCAAGGCCAGCCTGGGCTACATGGTGAGTGTAGGACCAGCCTGAACTACATAGCAAGACAGTATCTGGAAAACAAAAAACCCTAATATGTACAGAGCCTCAAAGCCTCCATATTTGGAGTGACTTCTTCGGCCTTCAAAATTGCTTGTACATATTTGTATAATGATGTATAAAAACCTCATTTTAAAAAAGGTTCGTATTGTTCTTTAAGTCATAATCACAGATTAGGTAGGTTGAGCATAGTTCGTAGGCCAGAACAGATGAAAAAGACAAATGAAATGTAGTCTTTTACATTTTACACATCTTGAATGTGTTACTGACTTTCCTGTTTTCTAACCGTGTGGTAGGCAGATACCATACTTATCGTACTTGTCAGTCTGCTAGGACTCATGAAACCAGGAGCCCATCCACCAGAAGTCTTGGACCAAACCCCTGCTAATACCTGAATTACTTGAAAAATAGCTTCTCTGTACCCAGGATATGTTGCTTCACCCATCTTGTGGAAAGTGCTTTGGTCTTACCCAGAGCAGGAAGTAGTTGCTTCACTATTATAGATAATAGGTAA